TTCTCCGCGCTCGCTGTTGTCGCCCTGTTGATGACGTCAGCGACGCGGTTTAATCGGGCGCGCTTTAGTCGAGCGCGTTTTTGTCGTGCCACGCAAGTCTCCAAGGTTGAGAAATACTGGAATAGAGTGACCAAGAATGGGGCAAAATAAATGAGTGGATATTAGTACCTGACATCCATTAACAATAGACTGGAAGCCTGATCCACACAATCTATTGACAGTTAAGGCAGGAATTGGGATTGGTACTCCAATACGTAAGCCAACATGTCGTGCGAGGTAAGCAGCATCTCTAGAACTCTGCAAGGGGGGAAAAAATGAGAAAATTAACCTGTCAAATTCTGCTTAAAAACTAAGTCGTGTGGTTGAAGATGACGTTCCTATCTATTTGTAGAAGTGAATAAAAGGAAATCATGTTCACATGAATGTGACAACAATGTGACCACTGCAGCTGCCAGGACTGGTCATAAAACCCAGCACTGTAATTTCAAACAATCGCTGAATATGATCACTAAATGAGTAATCTTGTATACCGGTAGTCCTTGAGTTACAACCACAATTGAGCCCAGAATTTATGTTGCTAAATGAGAAATTTGTTAAGTAAGTTTTGTAAGTTGATTGATTGATTGATTGCTTTTATTTATAGGCCGCCCTTTTCCCTGAGGGGACTCAGGGCGGCTTACAACCTATAGGGAGGGGAAGTTAAGTAAGTTTTGCCCCATTTTACAAACTTTCTTGCCGGAGTTCTTAAGTGAATCGCTGCCGTTGTTAAATTAGTAACACCGTTGTTAAATGAATCTGGTTTTCCTATTGATTGTTGGAAGGTCGCAAAAGTGGATCACATGACCCCTAGCACTGGAACAGTCATAAATGTGAATCAGTTCCCAAGATTCTGAATTTTGATCATGTGACCACGGGGATACTACAACGGTTGTAAGTGGGAAAAATGGTCACAATACACTTTTTTCCCATGCCATTGTAACTTCAAATGGTCACTAAGTGAACTGTTGTAAGTTGAGGACTACTGGCACCTTTATTTTCCTTCTTTCATTGCTATTGTTTATGCAATTTATGAATGAACTCAGTAAAAAAATTTTTTTTGTTTAAACACATTGATCGTTGCCTTGTTAATGCAAAATTCAAACAGAAAGTCAATTATGAAGAAGAAAAAAACACTACTTATCGTGATATCATCGCTTGGTGATATAATGATCCCACTGACAATACACTCTACAATGCTAGCAAATTCAGTTACCCAAATGTTCCAAAAAGAAACGGTTTGGTGAGGGACCTGATCAGGGCCGGATTTAGATGAAAAGAGGCCCTAGGCTATTCCACTTATGAGGCCCTTTCACCTCCCATTT